CCTGGGCTTCCTCTCTCAGACCCTCACCCGTCTTGCTGGCCCACCCTTGCCTTCCTTATTCCAGCTGGATAGTTGGTTCGTAGGGAGATGGTGTTTCTCTTGTTCCTCCTCTACCCTCACCACCGCCATCGCCCAGCCCAGCCCAGCCCAGCCTGGCACAGGGCAGCCATTCAGTCCATGAAAAGGATGGCCTTCTCTTTTGCAAATGAGGAGACTTCTGTCGAGTGTGTACCCCACTTGGTGTTCCAGGAGAGGGGTCCCCGATGACGCTCACGGGACAGTTGCAGCGGTATGGGTGCTTTAAGATGGCCTCTGTGGGGGTGGGAGGGTGGAGTCCCTATTGAGCTCCTCCCACCCACACCCTGCACATCACACAGGGGCAGAGAACGTGTGACCATCCCGTGAGCTGACTCCTGTCTCTGTTCTGCGTGGGAACCCCTGTGAAAGCTCTTGGCATCCCTCATCTTCTAGAAAGAAAATCAGAAGCTTCTCACTGGGGGCTTCAGGCATGGGCACATCCGATTACCATTACCTATGCCCACCAGTCCTCCCAGCCTAGGAGCCAACAGACCTCACTGCTTGAAGGCCTGGTTGCTGTCCCCATTACTAAGGGGGGTGAACCGAATGCCATCCCCAGCCCCCAGGCCCAGCTGAGAGCTGGAGCACCCGGAGGCCTCTGGGGGCACCACATACTCTGGTCATTTCACACCAGCAAGCCCCCTTTCCCTGCGATTGCGCAGAGGGGATTACCTTTCCCCTCACATCCACCTGCCCAGGCAGGGCTCCAGGTAATTATGCACAGCCACAGAAGCAGCGTTCAGCCAGGCTGGGAGACTCTGGCAGCCAAGTGCTTGCACAGGCAACAGGAGGCCCTTCTCAGCCATGGACCTGACAACACCCACCTGGCATCTCAGCGGCTGGGGCACTCATCACCCCCGTCACAACTGATCGAGGTGCGTCAGGCTTGCCTGGCAGTGTTACTTCGAGTTCAGCGCCTCTCTGATGCCAGCTGCTCTTCTGAGGCAGAGAACAAAGTCTCCCCCTACCTCACCCCCGTCTGTCTGGTCTTGCTCTCTCTGCCTGCCCAGGCTGACTCAGTTCTTCTTTCTTCTCATTTCAAACTTTGACCCGTCGGAGCCTCAGATGCACAGCGGCTCCTCTACTTCAGAAGTTCCAGTGTCCTCGAGCCCCAATGCCTCTAAGTGCTTCTGGCTCTCACTCCAGGGCGCTGCTTCTCCTGGTGGGCCGCAGTCCCCGGACCATGTCCCTCTTCCAGGCAGTAGCTCATGTCTTTGATCTAGAATGTAGTTGACCTTGAGAGTTCACATAATTAGCAGCAGAGGAGCAAGACACTCATGGACCTTTCTTGGCAGTTCAGAAAAGGCAGCATCAGAAAGGATCAGATGAGGGGAGATTACCTGTCATCTTTATTCTCAGGAGCCACAGTGGCGTACTGGTTACACATTGGGAAATGGCAAGGTCCACTGTTCAAAACCATCAGTGGCTCCACAGGAGAAAGAGTGGGCTTTCTACTCCCGTAAAGAGTTACAGTCTCGGAAATTCGCAGAGGAGTTCTACGCAATCCTATAAGGTCACTCTGAATTGGCACGGACTTCATGGCAGTGAATTGTGTTTGGTTTGGATTTGGTTTCTCTACTCTTCAGTTTTAAGTAACAGGTAGCTTGACCGTGGTGAGCACTGCATGGCCCAGCAAGGAGGGAGGGAAACACCCCAGATATCCTCTGTTTGCCACCCCATCCAGCATGCTGCCTGCATGTCTGAGTTCTAGCTCATGGGCTTTGGTCTTTGGGAGGGCTAATATCTGTCACTGATGTGGTGGCAGCTGCTTGGAGACGGAGGGTCCACCAATGGGGGAGAGGCAGTGTCTTATAATTTGCAAGTTCTCAAGATGGATGTTGCCTCCTGGGCATGTGGGGTGGGGTGTGTGTGTGGGGGGGGTCTGGGCTTGGCTCACCAGTTGAATGTAGAACTTGTGTGGGAATGCAAAGAAAGCTGAGGATGGTCCTCACCATTGATTCTCTGCAGGACGAGCAAAGGCTTATGATGCTGTTTCTCCCACCTCCCTGGGGAGGCGCCTGGGGAGGGTTTCTTGTGTAGTAGTAAAAGTTATGTAACATTTTCCTGGCCAACATTTTCCAGGTGTTTCATGTAGTGACATCGATTACATTAATCATGTTGTACAACCACCACCTATAATCGTTGCCAAATTTCCCATCGGCATAAACAAATCGCTTCCCAAGCCATGGCTTCCCCTTCCCTCTCCCTCCAATCCCTGGAAATTGCTAATAAACTTGAGTCTCTAACATTAGGCTAGCCTTGTCATTCCATGTAAGCGAGATCACACGAAGGCCTGCTATTTTCAGATGGACTGATTTCACTGAGCGCGGGGTCCCCCAGGCTTTGTCACGTTGTAGTGTGGGTCAGGGCTTTGTGTCTCCTGCACGGCTGAGGCTGGGCAGATGCGTTAATGAGCTAAAGCCTTTTCTTTTTGGAAAAAAAAAACTTATATTATGAATAATTTTTAATATAACGAAAGTAGAAAGAACAGGATGCTGAAGGGCCATATGTTACCAATGTGATTTAATATTTTAATATTGTTCTACCTGTTTTAAGGAGCCCTGGTTGAGCTCAGCCAGTGTAGTGTGTTACACTGCCAGGTAAGCAAGGGCCACAATGCGAACCCACCAACTGTTCCTTGGGAGAAAGGTGAGGCTTTCTACTTGCGCAAAGCTTCACAGCCCCGGAAACCCACAGGAGCAGTTCTCCTCTGTCTATAGGGCTGCTGTGAGTTGGGATCAGCTCGTGGACAGTGAGTTTTGTTTCATTTGTGTATGTCTGTTTTGCTTCTGGTGGTGCTGTGGGATACATGCTGGGCAGTTCAAATCCACCTGCCACTCTTTGGGACAAAGATAGGCTGCCTACGCCTATAAAGACTTATAGTCTTAGAAACTTCGGTTGGGATTGACAAAGGCAGGCTGCCCACGCCTTTCATGTCGTACTGTCTCAGAAACCTCGGCTAGGGTTCCAGTGGGTTGGGATTGTAGCTATTCATTGGGATTGACGCAATGACATTGGGTTCAGCTTTTGGTGCATACCTGTTTTATCATTTTAAAATATTCCTTTTATTTGGGGGGAAATAGTGCACCAGTTTCTACACAACCAATTTGATGATAATTGGTTATGTTCTTCCCGTTGTGTCTGCACTATCACTGTTTCGACTCCAATTCTTTCACCCTATTAACTCAGACAGGTGCCCTGCCCTACCCACACTGTCTTCTCATCAGTGCTTTAGAGCCACTGTCGTCCATTTG